CACTTGAGACCAGGAATTCAAGGCCAACCTGGGCAATAAAGCAAGACCTTGTCTCAAAAAAAGTAACAGATAACTTTGTATTTAGACCAGGCGTGGTAGCTCACGCCTGTAATCCTAGCACTTTGGGAGGCCAAGTTGGAAGGATGGCTTGAGCCCAGGAGTTCAAGACCAGCCTGGGCAACATAGTGAGACCTCATCTCAACAAAAAATAAATAAAAATTAGCAGGGCATAGTGGCGCACATTTATATTCCCAGCTACTTGGGAGGCTGAGGCGGAAGGATTACCTGAGCCCAGAAGGTCAAGACTGCCATGAGCCGTGATTGTGCCGCTGCACTCCAGCCTGGGCAACAGTGTGAGACCCCCAACTCAAGAAAAAAAACCAAAAAGCTTTGTTTTTTAAAAAATGTCAATATGATTGGTTTCTTTTGACATCCCTTAGAATTTATTTTGTGTATTTAAGAACATCATTCTGAGAAAGGACCCATAGACTTCATTAGACTGCAGGCAGGTTTAGGTTCTGTGGCACCAAAAAAGTCAGGGAACAGCTCAAGAGCCATGATTTTCAGCTGGGACTACAACATGTCCGAGACAAGGAGAATTTTTAAGGAAATCCCGAGGGCATGCACATTCCTAGGGATTCTGGTGTGATTGGTCGAGGGTGGGGCTTGATCATCCTCCTTTTAAACCTTTCCCTTTCCCCTATCCCCTTTCCCTCAGGTGATTCTGCTGCTGCTGCTGAGGTTCACTAAAGGGATGGCTTCTTTTATTTAATAAGGGGACATTTGCATGTCTTGCTGTGATTGTGCCTGGACAGATCATACCGTCTGTCTTCTGAGTTTCTCTGTTCTTGTACAGATGATGTGATGTATGCTATCTAAGTAGAGTGACAGCAGTAAACCTTAGCAGTGACTTTGCTGGTCTACAGTCATTTCCCTCTCTCAGAGGGCACAAATCACAAATCTTAGTACCTTGAGAAATGACCATCCATATTTTTAGTTACAGATTTAAGAAAGGTTGAGAAAAGAAGGCTTAGGTTGAGCTTCAGAGCTACTGGCTGACTTAAAGAAATCCACACCTGGTATGTTGAAGGATTCTTCGTCCGCCCCAGCCCTTGGTGTCTTCCAAAGCTGGTCCATTCAGAGCAGTTTTGGGTTTTGTTAGCACTGATGTAACTAAAGCGATTCAAGTAGTAGACTAGCTGTTTTTTATTTCCTGTATCAGTTTTACTTTTTACTCTGCCATTATCATTTTGTAGTTGTTGTCGCATGACTAAAATTCTAGTTTTTTTAACCTTTCTTTAAGTCTTTTTTCAAGAAGTAAGCCCTTTGACAGAATTCTTAATTTTGTTATATTCCAGAGAGCCCAGCCCCTTCAATCGTGTCTGGCACATACTAGCCACTGGGTGACTGTTTCTCAGGTGAATAGTAGAAATTCAGACACACTAAAAGGCATATGGCAGTGTATGTGTGTCGTGTGCATCTCACCTGCTCACCTCCGTTTTTGTTTTTTTAACCCAGTATTATGGAGAGCGATCGTTGTTGGTACCTGCCTTATTCTTTTTAGCGACTACAAGTTACATAATATTTAAGTAGGCCTTTTGTACATAGTGAATCATTTTTGTTTTAAAGAAATAGAGATGGCATCTTGCTCTGTCACCGGGGCTGGAGTTCAGATCTTAACCTCTGAATAACTGGGACTATACATAGTTATTTGAATAATTTTCAGTCTTAAGTAACTGCAGTCCAGCAACTATCTTTCAGGGTACAATCTTTGTGCACAAGTGCAGTAGGGTAAGTTACAAAAAGTGGAATTCAGGGTCAGACATTCATAATAAGTTTTGGTCCATATTGCTGCTTGCTCCTGCAACAATGCCTGTCTGCTTCTATGTACCCTCGCCAGCACAGTGTTCGTTACAGAATGTTTAAGAGCTCTCTTATGGTGTGCATTTGCATTTCTTTTGAGTGTTAAAAGTTAATTGTTCATTTTCTATAAACTGCTTGATATACTTTGCTAATTTTCTCTTTGATTCAGTGGTCTTTTATTGACTGGATTCTATACTAATAAATGTGGTACTTTTGTCAGGTATTGGAGAGATTTTTTTTTTGGTCTTTGACTTTGATGCTTTTCTTAAGCACAATTTTAAACTTTTTGTAATTAAATTTACTCTTTAAAGGCTTCTGAAGATTCTTTCCCATGCAGAAACACAGTTCACCGTATTTTCTTCTAGTTCTTTCTTATGTTTTTATTTTTAACATTTCTATCTTGGATCTGTCTTAATTTCATTTTGATAGGAAGAGTAAAGTAGGAAGTCAACTTTATTTTGAAAAAGTTGCCATCACAGTTACTGTAACAGATGACTATATGGTTATTCTGACACCATTTATTGAATAACCCACCACTCTGAGACGAAAGGCCCCCTCTATTATTTGCTGATTTTCCACTTGCCGTTCTTTCTGAAGGATCCTGGTCCAGTGATTGTTTTGTCACCGATACCAAACTGAAGTTCTGTATGTGGGTGGGGCCAGTAGTTCTTTATTAACTTCTTTTCCAGTTTTAGTTTCTTGAGCAAGTTCCTTAAAGTTCTTGTGTATTAGTAAAGCATCTGCACACCCTCTCCAGTGCAGTGTGATTCAAATTGCGGTAGTCAACAGGTTTTTCTTTCTAAATAAATGAATACTTAACCAGTGGTATCGGCTGTTTTTTCCCAAAGAAAAGTTTCTCTCAGATAATTTTAAAAATCTAAGCAGATGACTTTTTAAGCTTTTCCAACTGATATTTTCATGGAATTGTTCCATGAGATATTGATTAAAAGAAGTAAAGAGTGTAGTTCCAGGTACACGGAAGACTGAGGAGGAAGGATTGCCAGAGCCCAGCAGGTAGAGGCTGCAGTGGCCTGGAGCGTGCCACTGCACTCCAGTCTGGGCGACGGAGTGAGAGTCTAACTTAGGGGGAAATGGAGGGGGTAAAGAGAAAGATGATAAGGTTATTTCCTCCTCTGTGCTTGGATATTATCAATATGCTTTGCTATGTTGTAGATTTCAAGAAGTCCTGGAACAAGGCCTAACACAACTTTGTATAAATAAGCATTTAGTCTGACTTACTTGAGCAGTACTTGCTTTTTATGCTACATGGAAGTATTCTGAACGCCAGTTTGAGAAATAATACCTGTATTTATGCCTCAGCTACTATTTGAGGCTTTTTTTTTTTTTGAGTTGGAGTCTCACTCTCGCCCAGACTGGAGTGCAGTGGCCGCTCCCAGCCACTGCAGCCTCGATCTGCTGGGGCTCTGGCAATCCTTCTGCCTCAGCCTTCCAAGTACCTGGCATTACAGGCATGCGCTACCACGCCCGGCTAATTTTTTTGATTTATTGTAGTGATGAGGTCTCACCAAGTTGCCCAGGCGGGTCTCGAACCCGCGGGCTCAGGCAGTTCACTCACCTCAGCCTCTCAGGCATGGGATTACAGGCTGAGCTTCCCGAGCCTGGCTTATTTAAGGCGTTTTTAAGATTAAGTTTTATAGTATAAACAAAGCCACCTTATTAAAGAAGTCTTGGAAAATATTGAGAGAAAGGGAGAAAGAAAATCACCTGCAAACTACTGATCTCCCGAGCACGACCACCCCCAGTATTACAAAAAGGTTTAAACTCTTTTATTGCAGATTTCTTTTATAGTTTTTATTATACTGTATATACAATTTGTTAATCATGTTCTTATTTTTTTTTTTTACATCAAAATAAGAATTCCATGTCATTTCATGTGTATTCTTTGTGGCTCAGAATGAGTGCTCTAACCCAGTGTTTCTCGAAGTTGGTCCAGGGACCCCAGGGGTCCTAAGACTTTCAGAGGATCTGTGAGTTCAGACCATCTCATAATAAATCTAAGACATCATTTGCCTTTTTATTCTTAATCTCATGAGTATACAGTGGAGTTTTTCAGCCAGCAGACTGAATGCAGAAGCAGGAAAATCCAGCTGCCTTTTTAAAAGTCACACATTAAGTGGATTTGTAAATATGTAAAACAAAAACATTCTTCTTGCTGAATTTTTAAGTTATTTTTTATGAAAAATTATGTTAACATGTAAAAGTTTTTAAAAATCAGGTGAAGATTTAGGGGATTTTTTTTCAGTTTTGATTTCTAATATCATAAATATTGGTATAACCCATATAAAAACTCTTTGTGGTCCTTAATTTTTATTTTTTTTGAATAGGAGTCTCACTTTGTCACCCAGGCTGGTGGTAGTGCAGTGGCACACTCACTTGCTGGGCTCAGGCAATACTTCCACCTCAGCCTTCCAAGTAACTGGAACCTCAGGCACATGCCACCTTGTCCAGCTAATCTTTGTGTTTGCTTGTTTATTGTAGCAACAAGGTCTCGCCAAGTTGTGTGGTTCTTAATTTTTAGGAGTGTAAAGGAGTGCTGAGACCAGTTTGAGAACTGCTGTATTTAATACAAAATAGATTTATTTGAATAAAAAATGTATGACCATTTGATTTTATTCTTTTTATGCAAGTGACTTCTGATGATAAATACAGTCGTCCCACGGTATCTCTGGGGGATTGCTTTCAGGCCTCCCTGCCAATACCAAAATCCACATGTGCTCATGTCTGTTCAATGGTGTACTGTTTGCATGTAACCTACATACGTTCTCCTGTATACTGTAAATTACCTCTACATAACTATAATAGTTAACATAATGTAAATGCTCTGTAAATGGTTGTTCTATAAGTATTGTCTGTATGTGTTCGGTACAGACCCAGCCATTTTTTTCCCCTGAATATTTTGATCCACTGCTGGTTGAATCCAAGGATGCAGAACCCACAGATATGGAGGGGCGATTGTATGTTTAGATTCTAGAGAACACAGTTCTCTTTTGTAAGGAGATATTTTCATGCTTTGTAATGTGACATTGCATCCAGGGACTGATTTATTGTTTTTGAATTAAGTTAGGCATGAGATTTTTAAAACAGTAACTTCAGTTCATTATTATTTTTCCCCCCAGGCCGCTGAGTATGTCCCAGAGAAGGTGAAGAAAGCCGAAAAGAAATTAGAAGAGAATCCATATGACCTTGATGCTTGGAGCATTCTCATTCGAGAGGCACAGGTTTAGTGATAATAGGGTTACATTTCCTTCTCTGTGGGTCCAATCACACTACTGGGTTCTGCAGTAAATGATACTTTCATAATCCTAACATTGTAAATGCTGTTTATTGGTTTTCAATTTTAGAATCAACCTATAGACAAAGCACGGAAGACTTATGAACGCCTTGTTGCCCAGTTCCCCAGTTCTGGCAGATTCTGGAAACTGTACATTGAAGCAGAGGTTACTATTTATTTTATTTTTTCTTATATAGCATCTGATGGGAATTGCAGCATACACTATAGTGGTAGAAAACAAGTTAGGAACATAGCACAACTAGGACAAGGAGGATTTAAATGTCTCTTACCTTTATTTTGTAAAATAGGTATGAAGGAGTAATTAAAATGAATTTTTGACATTTGGGTCTTTTACAAGCTGATGATTGTTGCATTTTGCAGTTGCAACAACATTAAAACAGTTTCAATGGTATTGGAGTGCTTTAGCCTTTTATTTACTTGTCATGTGTCAATTTATTGCCTCCTGTGTCATTTATTTAGAGCTCATTTTTCTTTTTGTTTCTACTTACTAATGTGAATGGGATTATATGAAAATACAGAAATGTTAGTTTTTCATAGGGTATTTTGAATGCCTGGTGAAATGAAACATTTTAAAGAGAATTCAAATTTTAATTTTGTGAAAATGCATGGTTTGTCAATGTAAGCACTTTAATAATTTAAGATTTTGTCTGTAAGATAAAGTTATACATATAAGTTAATGTGACTCAAACCTATTTAATCATAATTTACCCAGTGATACTTTGATTTATTTTTTGGCTTTTTTCTGTCTTGAAATTTAAAGTCAAGCATGTTTCTTTTAAAGGGTAAGGGCCCCATTCTTGATTATGGTTAGAAGGAAAATGTTAATTTTTAAAGACTGGAATTAGTAAAAATGATAAAAGTGTTCATGTGTCTGACAGTTGGCACCAAGTAATCATTTTTAGGTCTTAAATTAATGGGGTAGAAAGGGTAAGATGGAAATAATTGATATCCACATTAAGCTGAAAATGGTATCCATTTCTTTTCCTAACTTATAATAACTTATGCAGTACTTTTTAAAATAATAATTTTGTAATGTAAATTCTCAACATAATCAAGTACACTGCGGCCTCAACATAATATTTTCCACTATAGCTGAAATTTGATAATATATGGGTCTGTTTTAGACCTTTTCAGAGGGTTTGATCATCAGCAGTACGGAATAGACTTCATCACAACAGTGTCATCTGTGATGTGTCCTAGAATAGACCCAGCCAGCAGCAGATTTAAATAGGGGCTACAGTGTACTCATTGTATATTTGTGCTATAGTTTAGATTGTATTATGTTGGGGGGAGGGAAATTTCTAGATAATAGCAGGAACATTGTGTGTGTTACTTTTGTGTGTATGAATGTGTATGTGGTATATATGTGGTGTGTGTGAGAGATTGTGCCTTATGTGGAATCTAGTCGTTTTGACCCACGACTGCATCTGTAAGGTTCGTTGTCTATCCTCTGGGACCATTTCTTTCTTTAATGAATGATAAATTGAAGTCACCAGAGTAGATTGGCACACAACTCTGCTGGCGAGGCCTTGTCTGAAATATGCCGAGGCTAGTGCTGCTTCATAATACTCATTAAAACAAGGAACCTGGATCCCCTGTACCTGGTCTGCATTCTAGTTGGACTTTACAGACACATTAGGCTTATGTTCAGATTCATCAGAAATGAACATATTTGATATGTCATCATTTTTGTGTAATGAAGTTTTAAAAATATCTGTTTCTCAAATATTCAGGTGTCATACATGCATTTTATAGTACATGAAGCTGAAATTGGCAGAGACTCCATTCTGTAATTATAAACACAGTGGGTTTATTTCTCCAATTTCTTCGCTATAAGTTATAATCTGCATCCTAAAAAAGAATTTCAAGAAAGACCGGATGTTATTCAAAGGGGCTGAAAGTTGTCTGAATACGTCAGAGCTGCTAGCAGTTGCCTGATGTATTCTTTGGTCATGTCTGCAGTTATTTCATATACCCTCACACACATGCAAGTACATTTGCGTGTATATATAACATTGAGAACAAATGGTAAAGGATATATTGTGTATATTTTTAAAAATTTTATATTCTGGGTTTAGGAATTAAGATTTTAAATTGAATACTGTTCTTAGAAACACATATCCTGAGGTGTGCTTTTCTCTTTCCTGATTTGCTTTTCATTTTTTATTTTCACATTTTGCTTTTGTTTAGCCTGTGAGAGGCTAAAGTTTTCCTTGGTCATATCATTCAATGTGGCCTTTAATATTTCTGGAGAAGACACATAACCTACTTATAATACATTTTAAAATCTGAAGTGGTAATAAGATTGTCTTTACATTGAAAGAAATACAGTGTTTACGTAACATTCTGTATGCACTTAAGAAAATAAAGTTTTGTTAATACATTTGTTGTAACTCAGTACTTTATGGTGGGAAAATTGTAATGTTTCATTTATTTATATTCCGCTATTAACTTGGATGACTCCAGATACTATTTTTTCTCTAATAGAAAATACATATATCTTGAATAACAAGATACTTCTCTTTCCCAGAGAAATTTTTTGCAAATCCTACTAAAATAACGAAGCAAAAATGTAGTTAACATTTATAAAAATTTGAGGCATCGATTGAAAATGAGTATATTATCAATAGTTATTTAGAGATATTACCTAAGCTACTATATCAGTCAGTAAATCAGCTTATCTCATATCTGAGAGTTTATCAATACCTGCTTAGCTGGCAAAATTTGAATTTGTAAATGACATCCATGATGGTCACACAGTTTTTTGCTGCAGTGTGGAAATTGTTGGAGGCAAAATCCTCTTACATGATTTAATATATCATAAGAGCAAGCAATCGTAGATATTCTTAAAGTGATGTAATTATCAAACATAGAGCCAAATATCACTATGAAATGAAACTGCTTTTGCTGCTTTTAGTTTTAAGTAAACATTTCGATACATCTCCAACTATTTACTTGTATGCAGCTATCTTAAGTGCATTTTAGTAAATTTTTTAATTTAAGGAATGTGAGTTTTTAAACATTTAGAGTGAGTGAAATACCCTCATCAGGGCCTCAGTGCTCCTTACAAAACCACTTTCTACAGTGATCAAAACTCATTACTCATCACAAAATTGAGAAAATTTATATAATTTTTCCATTTTCTTTAAGGTTGTGCCTCTCCACGTGGTTTTCAAAGCTTTTCATGTAGGTAATCAGTGTAACAACATGTAAGCTACAGTATTTTACTGTTAGGAATAATTTGTTTTGAATTGGGCCACACTGGTAAATTTTTTGCTGAAAGATATTTTTATTCCTAGCTGAGGAGGAATGAAAAAGGTAATACTGTTGGTAATAGCAACAATGTATCTTGCTGTCTGTGAAAACTGTAACTTTAATAAAAATATATAGAGAATTGATGGCTTTTTATTTAAACATTTTAAAAACATGAACATACTTGGTTTTTCTTTCCTTATGAATAACGGGTTGTATGGCATACATTTTAATTTTCAAAATAGCCTTTCTTCTTGGAAAATGGAAGTGAATTCAGAATGCAGCATGAGTGACCTTAACTGAAATAAACTTCACTGTTGAGACTGTTTTACTACTACTCTAGCAGTTTAAGTTGCTGTATTATCATGATTTGTTTATATTGAGCAATGTGATTTTTAAATGCAGATAAAATTTTACTACATTATCATTTAGATTATAATCTCTTTTCTATACTTCAGCTTGCCACCTTTTAAAGAAACATCTGTACTCTTTTCTTATAAATCTACACTTTTCCACTTTTCCTGTTTGTAATAAATGTTGGTCCATGTCTGTGTGATTATTCAAATTTAACTTTAAAACTCAACATGTTTTTTTATCTACAGTTTCTTAGATGCATATGTAAAGATAGAATAGCATGTTAAAGAAAACAACAGGAAGTACTTGCCAACACAGAACTGAGTGATAATATCTGGAAGTGCTTTGAATAACTAAAGTACTATTTGATAAGCAGAGGAAACACCTGCCTGTCCACTCCTAAGTAGTGAGCAACCCTAGGCCTTATTGTGATGGCTAACTCCGTCCCTCCTCTCTGGCCATTGCCACAGCAGGGATGTTGAGGCATTGACATTTTGCTAACTTGTCTGTGCTTTTTCCCATGGGGCTTTTTCTCTTATCCTCCGCAAAAGGACAGCAGTCACTTAGATAACAGAATGACTTCAAATAAAATGTGGCGTTTTCTAATCTTTACATCTTTCAGGTCATTTATTCCTTTAATGTGAAATATAGCCATAGCCATTTGTCTCAACTTTATAGAGCAGAGCTATAGTCTCTGCAGTAATTGGTAAACATGTTGAAAACATACGGTCATTTCCTCTGCAAAGACTCTTACATTGTTAACCCAGTTTCTTCTGTTCTTTTGTGTAATAGTAGTTATGATATATTATGAAAATGTGGAAGGGTATCTCTGGGTTTATGATAAAATGCATATAATTCTAAAATTGTGAAACAAAAAACGATCAGATCATGCAATTTGAAATTTCCTTGGGGCTAGTGGTGTTTCAGCCTAAATTTCTTGGACATTTTTGGAATAACATAATACTTGATACCTAATACTTAGTCGTTAAAAGTTATTTGGCATTGTAGTCATTGGGACGGTAGGGGTTAATGTTGATAGAATACTATCCCTGTCCCCAAGTGGTGTTAAAGATATGCTGCAACATGGTGTCCATGAATCAACACCCAACATGTTATCCCATTATAGTACAGAGCTGGAAACCTTAATATTGGGGAAATAGAGCCATTTCTCACACAGAGAATTCCTTTTATGGTGCTCAGCATTTTTGGTCCTAACTTCAACTTGAGGGAACCAGTTGGTAAATGACTTTCTCTTTAAAAAAAAAAAAAAACCCAGGGCCACTGTAAGTCAAGGCACAGCTTTTCTCTAATAGGCTCATGTTTTGTTTAATGCAACAATTTTGGAGCAGCCATTCCTTTTGAATGAGTGGTTCAAGGCACTTCCAGGAAATGACCATGTTTAAAGTGTTACCGGTCACAGCTGTGAAAAGCCACACCTCTAAATAAAGGTGGAAGATAATGCACTCATTAGCTTGTAAATCATTAAACTTTCAACTTTGTTAACTTTGCTAAATTTTTAAACCATATGTTTTATTACTA